ACATACATACATACACATACATACATACATACATACATACATACATACATACATACATACATACATACATACATACATACACACACACACACACACACATACATACATACATACATACATACATACATATAGATGGACAGACAGAGTTACATACATACACACATACAGATATACATACATACATACGCACATACACACACATGCACACATACATACACACACACTTACACACACACACACACACTTACACACACACACACACACACACACACACACACACACACACACACACACATTACACACACATACCCACACATACACATACATACACACACATAACCCCTTTGTGATAAATATGTAATAAATATGAATTGCCTCTAAGTAAGTTATGGCTGGAATCACTTGACAATGCCATTGATTTATTGATCCCAATCTACTCGATTGACAATTTGCACATTTTCTGCATTATAACGTCGCCAGACATAAATCACATAGCTACATAGCACTTAGGGTTTGTGAGAGTTACGGGCTGTGAGGGTGATTACTGGGCGTGTCTTTCACTGACACAACGGCGAACTCTGGTTATGGGCTGTTAAAAAGGAGTTGGTAATTGATTGTGTTCGGTCAGCAAGGCATAACACCCTAGCTACAGTAACACACAGTTATCTAAACATTGCCCATTCGGAAACAAGAATGTCAAACTTGCCTCTCCAGTTATGCGTGCGAGTATTATTGTTGCCTTTTGAATAAAACATGTAGTGCAGGCATTGACAAGAAACATAACTGTCTGAATAGACACGCCTTTGTACAGAGTGCATGTTACGAACCACGAGCAGTTTGTGCTGGCAAACTATCATAGTTGAGTAAGTGAGTAGATGGGTGAGTGAGTGAGTGAGACACTGAGTGAGTGAGCCTATGGGTGAGTGAGTGATAAGAGAGTGAGTGGATGAGAGGTTGGGTGAGTGTGGGGATGGACAGGTGAGTGGATGGCTGAGTGAGTGGATGAGATGATGAATGAGTGCATGGATGGGTGAGTGATAACATAGATGAGTGAGTGAGTTTAGTTTTACGCCTTACCCAGCAATATTCCAGCTATATGGCGGCGGTCTGTAAAAAATCGAGTCTGGATCAGACAATCCAGTGATTAACAGCATGAGCATCGACCTGCGCAATTGGGAACCGATGACATGTGTCAACCAAGTCAGCGAGCCTGACCACCCGATCCCGTTAGTCGCCTCTTACGACAAGCATGGGTTACTGAAGGTTCATTCTAACCCGGACCTTCACGGGTATGATGGGTGAGTCGGGAAGTGTGTGGATGTATGAGTGAGTGAGTGCGTGGAAGGGTGAGTGACTGATAGGATGGATGATTGAGGGAGTGAGTGAGTGAGGGAGGGAGCGAGAGCGTGGATGGGTGAGTGGTCGACATAACAGATGAGTGAGTGAGGAAGTGCGTGAACGGATGGGTCAAATAGCAACTATTTGGGATCTGTCGCATTGCTTTGCGTGTGGCCGTATGGGTCGTTTACCAATTACCAATTTATTAAGAGCATATCGTTTTAAGGATGCAATAAAAGATAAGAATACCATCGAATCGTACATGGATTTGAAACCAAGTACAAGGAGCTGTTCGAACGCTTTAGCCACTGAGCCACCCGAACACACATATAGAAACTTAAGTCGATACAAGTCGTGAAAGATCTACAGGCTCTTTGTCCAGTGAAATCAGAAAGCATTCAAAGTAGTTCCAGTTCGATGTGAAGCCAGTCAGTAAAGGGACTGGTAGTATGTTGTGAGCGTCAGTGTTGTACTGGTAGCTATGAGACGTAGCTATTCACATGGCTGGCGAGGTGTGGTGGCTCCTGTCTAATTGTCAGGAGCGTTAACTTACAAGGGTGTGTGTCGTTGTTATCTCCGGTAATAGGCTGGAAGTACCTGTTATAAGAAGGTAAGTCATACATTGTTTTTATTCTGTGAGATAAGATTCTAAAGGTTAAGTGAAGTGATAGATTAGTAGTGAAATAATAGTATTTTCACGGAAATACCGTTTGCAATGGGGTATTGGCAAAGTCTGACAGGATATTTCCACAAATACGTGGTGTATGAGTGAGTGTGTGAGTGAGTGAGTGAGTGAGTGAGGTTTTACTCCGCCTTAAGCAGCATTTCAGCAATATCCTATCTGGAAACAACAGCAGCTGGATTCATACACTGTTATGGGAATCAGTGTGACGAGTGAGCGCTTCAACAACAGGATATTCCACTTCACCTCCACCATCATAAACATCATGATGATCGTGACTATCATCACGATCATCAGGTACAGAATCACGTGATGACAGTGGTCATGCCCATAGTGAGTGAGTTTAGTTTTACGCCGCACTCAGCAATATTCCAGCTATATGGCGGCGGTCTGTAAATAATCGAGTCTGGATCAGACAATCCAGTGATTAACAGCATGAGCATCGATCTACGCAATTGGGAACCGATGACATGTGTCAACCAAGTCAGCGAGCCTGACCACCCGATCCCGTTAGTCGCCTCTTACGACAAGGATGGGTTACTGAAGATCAATATTCTAACCCGGACCTTCACGGGTTATCATGCCCATACCTGAGGACGATTGCCACAAGCTGGTGACTTTGTAGACATCAAAGATGTCTAATATTCAGGGAAATGCAAAGCAGTAGCTAGACCAGTGGGAATATCTACATGTGCAGTTATGTACCCCATAGAACAGCGTGCTAACATCTGATGTAATTATAAGCGAACACACATGAAGCCTTAAGAAATGAACATTTTACGGTAACATACATGTTTGTTACACTATTTTCAGGACAAATCGATGTCTGTTCGCCGAACATGTTGCTCGTAAACTTTCTGTATCAGAAGGATAAATAGAAGACAACAACAGCTCACGCTTCCTAGATCAGCTGTTGATTTAGATTATCGTTTAATCACAAATCGGGGATGTAGGGTAGCATAGTTGTTAAAGCGTTTGCTCGTCACGGGTTCGATTCCCCATGTGGGTACAATGTGTGAAGCCCCTCTATGTCCCCCGCCGTGATATTGCTGGAAGCGGCGTAATACCATACTCACTTTTATCACAAATCCGTTTTACATGCTTTTAGTTTAGATCGTTATCTGAATTTTAATGATTCTTTTGTAATTTTTATTATTATCATCTCAAGGGATTTTTTTCTGGTATGATATTCTTCGTTGTTTGATATTCAACCATTGCGAGTTGAATGCAAATGGTGGCATCTCTTTACTAAGAGGAACTGATGAATTATAGGTTCGAGTCAGCTGGAACTACAAACTGTTGCTTTGATACAACAGACAACGAAACGGTAGGCAAGGTGACGTTAACACACAATGTAAAGCCTTACCGCAAAGGTGAAGGAGGAATTAAACTTGAAATTGATGGCACTTGAAAATGATAGTGATTTATTGGGCCCACTTCAACTTCATTTCAGCAGTGACTGCTGTAAATTCGCACCTCAACCCTCACCCTCGTATCTAGGTGTAGAGTTGATATCAGTCATTTGTATCTCCTGGCCAGGGAGGAGTCTGTTTACTGGTTGCTACTCGTACGCAAAATCGCCCACACAACACATACGTAAAGACATCATAAACTAATATTTTTAGAAGACGTTTTTAACGTAACGGTAACTTGGGCGTTTATATCTATGACTTCCAGACGTGAAAACTCGTTAGCACACACGTCGGATGGGTTATAACAAGGAAATGACAATCTCATGCAACGGTCGTAATCTTGAACCGTGTTTTCCCCTATTCAACTCGGTTTACTGATGGCCTTGAGATATGTACACCACACTACACGTTTTCCATTGCCTGTTTTATGATGCTTCATACACATTATACCTTTAATGTCCCACTGGTGTATATCATACACATGTTCTTCTACGAGCCCGCCTAATGAAACCGCCATGTTTTGATGAGACCGGTCACGTCATCATTCATTACCAATAATTAGACTTATGTAATGGTATGTTATTTTAGCCCAGTATACATCATGTCGGAATTCAAAGTACAATTAACCAGTGCCAGTGAAAACGGCAATAGCGTCAGACTATACAAACACCATTTTCGGTCACAGGGACCCAAAATGGGAAGAGTAGATTTAGAAGATTGGTCGTAAATACTCTTGTTATTCCAAGTGGTTGTGAAGTGGGTGATCACTCCGCCCCTATCTGAAACATCCGACGTGAGTGAAGGCCGAGGCAGAAACGTTTAGAAATATCTGTATCATCTGACGAAACAAAATCGCGTTCTATGGTTGAAATAGGTTTAATAAAAGCTACCTTCCGCCGTGCAATTCATAAACATATACCGTTCAACATTTGGTAGGGATAGTGAGGCATTTCATGCTGTGATACTGCTGCATAGTAACAAATGATCAGCGTGTTTATGTAACCTACATGAAATGTTATCCATAGTGGTATGGAATACTGTTGGCTTGGAAACATGTACACGTAATCGACCTCGGTCAGTCTTGAGACTATCCCTGCCTACCTTTAAGTGGTACAATTATATATGTAAATTATATTCAAATTTGTATAACCAAGATTGAACCACTCCAAAAGGAACCCCTCGTATAGAGTTAAATTGCCGGATCAGAGTCATACATCCAATTGATAGCATTGATTCGTGTCTAAATCTATTCTAACATGCGTTCTTTTTTAATATACTTCATTACCTAGAATACTATCCAGCACTAAGATGACAAGACAACCCGTTTTAAGCTCTGTTTACACGGTAGACAGGCACCCCCTTCTGTTCTCACAGCAGTAACGTGTTCACGTTAGTAAAACATGCACTGGCAACAGAAACGACATTGTGTTGCGGGCTGGCTGCATGTATGAATCTATTGAATTGCTGCTGTTGATTCACGCAGAGTGTTTATAGTAACCTCTTAATACAGTCACCTGTATTTCAGAGGGCCCATGTAACGGCTTGAGGGTTGTGTGTTGGCCGCCATCATGGGTTGCGGATCCAGCAGCGCCGTGGCGGACGATTCGGATATAAAGGCGGTAGGTTCACATACGAAGACATCAGATACTGTCCGATTAAATAATTTCAAGGACTTGAGTCATCCTATTTACATACGTCGACCACACTGACAATCAACATACCTTTTGACGTCTTGCATTGACAGGTTATACATGGTTTGTAGGTAGTCTAAGTTAGTAGGTGTCAACAGACACTGAGGGCAGAAAGAGAGAAAGTATGCGCCAATGGTTCATGGCGGCTTAAATTAGACGACTAGAAAATAGTTATTGGATGGTGATGTATACGATACAATTCTGCTTTTAACCTCACGTGTCACGTGTTTCTGCAACTTTTGCTGCCAAGAAACGTTTCGATAACACCTCTAATGTTTTGGTCATATACAGTTTTTGAGTATGTACTTTCTGTTACTCGTCTGCTTACGTCTGGGTTTACATTTAAATTGGAGTAGGCCAAAATAGTGGCAGTTCTGTAACGCTGGATTCAAGTCGGTCAACACCAGTCTGTGTGTCTGCTTAATATATTGTTACTGTTGCTACACACTAAGACCAACTAAACCTCACAACCTACGCTGTGGAAATGACAGTGTAGCATTGGGACTTTCTAAGCATCTGATCCTGATGACTTTGTTACAGATCGAAGTTCCAGATTCCGAGGACGGATACCCGAAACCCCAACCACCCAAATCAAAGAAGAATGACATTTTCGTCCTGGAGGATTATAAGGAAATCGACCAAAATGCTTCCAAAGTAATCAAAATTATTATATATTTATTGCTATTGTCGATGTTTTGTCATAATTCTCTATCATAAAAGTTTAATATGTAATGGTTCTTTTCCCTTTGTAATCTGTGGTACATGATCTTCCCGCTGATGTAGATGCAGTGCGTCCATGCTTAATCACGTCTACAAACAGTTGTCTTATCCAAGTAAAAGGTCAGAAATGGCCAACTGGCAGTTTACTCTGTAGATTGGTTCCCCTCACTCACCCTGATTCGTACTAGTAATGATTCTTGATCTCTCTGCGCTGTGTCAATCCACGTGGGTAGCCAGCCCCCTGAGTTACGATGGGCTTTCGTCCCATAGAAATAGTGTTCAAAGCGCCGTTAAAACTATAACATTATCATTGCCATCGTGAGGTTCCTCGGCTTATATTGGAGAGACTCGCAAGTAGTGTGTGTCCACTATATTACTTTTACGAACATCCCTCAGAACTATGAACTGAAGTCTACTTGAACGTTACAGATTACTATCAAGGACGAAACAACCTATGAAGAGCTCGTGACGACGTTGACTAAAGATCTGAAGACAGATCTACAGAAACTCCGAGCCATCTTCTACCTTGTAGGGAGCCTGAATATCGAGAGACAACTCTACAAGGGCGTGACCGACCCCAACACGCCCCGCGGTCACATGAAACTCATCAAGTTGGGGAAGGGATGGTACACGGACTTTTTCGCTTTACTTTGCAGGTAAGTCAATGTTCAAATATCCTTTCATTTTGTGTCGATGTAGAGAGCAACCCACTTTTCCATGTTCGCATGCTGTTGCGTGTTAAGAAAACTGCAAGGACGAAAAATATTTTGTATTGCGCACTGTGTACTTTTTTTGTTATCGTCACATTAGTGTGGACTTCCAGAAAAACAGGTTCCAATATGCTCTGATACTTGGCAAAAGGTTTGGAACTACAGTGCGAAATTGAGTGAGGGCGTAGTATTTCCCTATTGTGTCCTTGAAAAACAAAGTGTAAAGTAAAGTGTACATAAATATAACACCTTCTGAAGTTTTGAATAGAAACTGATCTTATGAATGGCATTTTAGAAGTTGAGACGTACAATATAGAACACATTTAATGGATAACAACTTCTTTATTTCGTGAGTGGGACGTTTCGATACAGATTCTTGTGCAGGAAGGACAACTGCTTGACAACGGTACAAGAATCTGTATCGAAACGTCCCACTCATGAAATAAAGAAGTTGTTATCCATAAAATTTGTTCTATATTCTATATTGATCTTATGAAGACAACATTTATAGAACATTAAAATATTGTTCGAAAGAAATACTAGACCATGACTATATGTGAAGACAAAAATACTGAGACAACAGTCATTGGTAATTCAAATGTCTTTCAAGTAACAATTTTATGAACAATGTAACGAATCCTGTTTCCAGGGCTGCTGGTTTGCCATGTGTGATAGTCCACGGGAAGGGGAAGAGTGTGAACTATGAGGTGGGCAACAGGGACGCCAGTGACCTCTACAGCGACTGGAACGCCGTCTACGTGGACGGGGACTGGAGGCTGGTACATGCGCTGTGGTCCTACACAGGCATTATGGGGTATGATGCTGGACGCTGGATGAAGATAGAAGACCAAGGTCAACAAAAGCGAGAAAAACAAGCAGCATCGAAAGGGAAACACGTCACTGGAATTAAAGAGTTTTGGTTCTTGACAGACCCTGACCAGTTTGTGTACTTCTGTCTTGCTGACCGCCAGGAGTGGCAGCTGTTGGTCAAGCCCTGGACAGTTGACAAGTTCATGGATGTTCCGTACTTCCGGCAACCTTACTTTACCAGTTCTGACATGACTCTCACCAGTGTGGACAAGTCTGTTCTCGTTTCTCAAGGAGGTCGAACAGTAATTGCCTTCGAGCATGATGCCGAATGCAAATCTGACATTACTTACGAACTGTTCTTTGACGAAGAACGTTCTGAAGGAACATTACCGGACAGTGTTAAACTCCCCCGCTGTGTTTTATTTGAATCAACGGAAAAAGAAAAGAAACTTAATTACCGTTTCCATGTTGTTGGTATATATAAAACGGTTATATATATCGGAGGAAAATCAAAGTTACCAATTGTTGAATTCATGATTGACTGCAAGGAGGTGTCACAAAACAAAAACCTTTTCCCAATCACTCCTGATATCGGTTTCGGTTTTGGACACACTGCTAAAGACTTTGGACTAGAATCACCTTCTGAGCCCGAGGCAATTATTGAGACTGTTAAGAACAAACCAAACGAATTTCAGTTTAAGCTCAGTGAGGATCAACAGCTCGAGGCGCATCTCCGCCATAATGACCTTGAACTTGGGAAATTACGGGAATGTGTCGAGAAGGAGACAAAAGATGACAAGGTCATGTTCAAGGTCACCGTACCGGAAGACGTGGATAATGGCGAGTTTGCTCTTCAGATCTATGGTCAGGACAGCAAAGGAAAGGTCAATGTTGTCAACTATCTCCTGACTAACAATAAGGGGGATTTCGGGTCTGATGACGAGGTGAGTGTGCGTTCGATCTGTTATTGCGTTAATATAGCAACAATGTACTTATGTTCTTCTTCAGATTAGTTCTAATGGGTAACCTTTGGAACGACAGTTGTCTAGTTCTATTGGGTAACCTTTGGAACGACAGTTGTCTAGTTCTATTGGGTAACCTTTGGAACGACAGTTGTCTAGTTCTATTGGGTAACCCTTGGAACGACAGTTGTCTAGTTCTATTGGGTAACCTTTGGAACGACAGTTGTCTAGTTCTATTGGGTAACCTTTGGAACGACAGTTGTCTTTATCTCCCCATGGGATCATCTGCTCTCCATAACGGATACTTTTTACCAAATAAATCAGAATAATAATTGATATATGATACTATTAGCACTGTATATCAACTTATATATAGCTAACATATGTTATATTTGGGATTACACGTTCCATTTAACCACTTAGCAAAGGGCATTGTGTATACAGTATATAGCTATGAACTATTATATACCGACTATTACTGTATATATCCATCCCGATATCCTACGGTGACACCCGTCACAGACACATGCAACGTCAAGTCAACTGTTCACCTAACACACGGTAACATACAGTGCAAGTCAACATATTAAACTGCATCAGACACTTTATTTTCATCGAATTTGAAAATGTCATTTACATGTCTTCGTAAAACCTTTTAAACGCTTGTACAGTCCACAGTGAACTGGCTGAAGGATCTATGTATGTCTGTGAACTTTGGTAGACACAAATACCATCGCTTATAGGTTATAAACTGCGTAACATTGTAAATGTACGTAGTACTGGTTCACGTTGTTCTTATATATACTGTAGATATTCTTTCATATCCAGCAATATAACGTTATTTAAATCTCACCAGATCGATTCACATAGTTCACACTAACGCATGTTCTCAAGACATATGTATACTGTCCATGTATCTATGTCTAGTACAACAAACATGTTGGGTTGGTACTGTAGAAGCCTGTATGTACTAACACCAACACTGTTGATATGAACATATCACTACCTGTACAATACAATACACCGGTACAAGTCGGTAACACATGCCGGTTTGAAAGGAGAACATAACTTTTCATGAGAGGGTAAATGAATTGCAACGCCTCATACGCTATTGAGGAACGCAGATCATTTATGTGGAGACATAGAACTGAGACTGGTGCACTTAGCTAACACGACACACCTCAATGACACACATCAACCAGTGGTGGAGATGTTTGTATAGTTTAATAAAACCAATGTCGTTTTACTTGGAAGTGGGTAGGTGCTGGTATTTCTATTACCTAGATGATCGATCGATACAGACAATCATCTGGGCTATTGAAATCATATCATTGCCATTTTAATGTATGTAGCATAGATCAATAGGTGTCGCCGTTATCGTTGACCTGAAAACAGCCATGGCACACGCTCCAACTTAATGAGGCAGCTACTATTTGACATTCGTCTAATTGGCGTCTAGCTTCTAAGTGTTCGTTAAAATGGTCTTCTGATGATGAACGATATCCTGTAAAACACTTGTTCTTGTTCCCTAAAATATCAGGCCTCTCATTTCCGAAATGTTTGTGCTATACAATTGTCTGAATATATGATTTATCTGTATTACACTGACTGACTGAGTATGGTTTTACGCCGTTTTAGCAATATTCCAGCAATATCACTGCGGGGGACACCAGAAATGGGCTTCACACACTTTACCCATATGGGGAATCGAACCCGGGCCTTCGGCGTGACGAGCGAACGCTTTAACCACTAGGCTACCCCACAGCCCCTATCTGTATTACAAATCCAAGACCCACTTCAGAGCGGTCCCATCTTACACCAATGTGACAACGTCCACTCGGGATCTGGATCTTGTTTGAAGAGATTACTTGCGATTCTGAAAATGTTTTGTCGCATTTATTAATATATGTAAGTATTTGCTACGCGTTGATTCCCACGTTGAAACTGCAAATTAACCGGCAATCAGTTCGTAAAAGGAGTTGATGTGATACCGATGAAAAGCAAACAGATGGGATGCAATTAATAATCCTATTTAATCCTAATTATTTAATCCTAATTAATACAAGTCACTACAAAAGTATTCCAGTGACAGTACAAAATAGAGCGGCAGTACAAATACAAGGCAGTATGATACAAAGCAGTGATCATAACTATAAATACTGAAATGGGTATATTTACTTCTCTGTAGCAATAGTAAATTCCAAAATAGGCTGAGTATCAAGGGTAAGGATGATGTCTACACAATTGCTGGTCTTCTTGAGACGAGAGGCAAGAGTTATCTCCCCTTATATACCTAAGAGTAAAGACGCCAGAAGATTTTCCACCTCCATGGTTCAGAATATAGTGGGGAGGGTTGTAGTGCCATGTAGTACCTTACAGACCTGTCTAAATACAGCACATCTGTGCCTCTCACTGACTATCGACATATCCACTTATACGCTTAAAGCATTGTTACTCAACGAATAACACTGCCACTTAACAGATATAGAAAACTCTTACACGGCGCGAGGACACTTAAACACTCCATGTGAATAATATGTAATTGTCTTGCACCTTTTTGGCGTTATAGAATTAGTGCTATAAATTGGATATCTATTATCGACTATTTGTTGTATTCTATAGTGGCGTTGATTGTAAGGTTATGTTCCATAAAATCGGAAAATATTCAAAGTGATAAAATCGATTGTTTTAATCTCCGGATTGTTATTCAGGCAGATATGCAGGTGTTATCTGTCGACTGGCCCTGGAACACTTAGTGACATTACGAGTAGCAATGTGGCTGGTTGTCGTAAATTGCCATCAGTACAGCACTGTACAATGTCATTTATTAAACATGATGTGTTTAGCACCGTCATATGTTGCTGGGGACCTATATTCTAACCCGGAACCCAGACGATATGTCTGTATTTTAATAGTAATAGTAATAGTCAGCTTATATGGCGCTCATATCCAGGCACATTGCCTGCTCACGGCGCTAAGTACATTACTATCCCCGGTCATAGAACACTATCGCACTTTCCGATACTTTTTCAACTCCCTGGGGAGCATACAGCCATGCTGCCTGTTAGGCGCAATGAACTTAACACTCACATTGCCAGCACATCCTCACGGGTACCCATTTTACAGCTGGGTGAACTGAGACAATGTGGATCTAAGTATCTTGTCCAAGGATACTACGCAAATGTGCCCACCTCGGGACCCGAACCTAGGTGCTTCCACCGGGATTCGAACCCGGGCCTTCAGCGTGATAGGCAGACGCCTTACCACTGCACTACTGCGCTCCACATGATATCATGATATTAGATATGTTAGATGCAAGTCAGGAGGAAGGAGTGTCAGCTGTACAGCTGGCGCAGGTAGTGTTGGTGCAGGTACCGGGATCTGGGTACCTTGCTGGTTGTGAATGTCTGTGGTAGGTCGGATACCTTGACTGGATTCTTTGGTACGTTGCAGGTAACCGAGCTTAACATTTCACACATTCTTAACATTAAAGTGTCTTTCGATTCAGAAGCGAATTCGGAAACAGCTGAAAGAGGCATTAAAGCGAGAAGATGCCGAGGAGTTGGAGAAGGCAATTGAGGAGTTTGAAGAGGCGAATCTGTCTGATGATGACAACGATCTGGCCAACGCCAAGAGGAAGCTCAAACGACTGAGAAAAGGAAGTGATGGTAAGACTACCTGCTTACAGTAAGAATCACCTGGTGTTTCTATGATACAAGTTGGACGGAAATTTCATTGAGTCTCTGATACGATGCTTGTAGAAATGCTACTTCGCAACTGGTACTATGCTTACATGAGAACGATACAGGGATCAATATCTAGGCGGCATCAGTCATATTCAGTGACCGTCCTTGCTAGATTTTTTCAACATTTATTCTTTACATCTGAAACCGTCGAACAATAATTCATCATGTCGGTTTTACATATACTAGACTAAGTATAACTTTCAGGCTTTAGGTCGCCTAGGCCTTGTTCTAAGTATGATATCATCATTCACCAACAATGTTCCCGTTATATTAACGTAGACCAAGTGGGCCCCGACCAGCTGTTGGCCAACTTAAAGAAAGCCATGAGCGACAAGAATCTGGAAGAGTTGGAGAAAGCCATAGTTGAGTGTGAAGCAAACGGCCTCTCTGACCATGAAGACGTCATCAAGGCGAGGAAACTTCTTGTCAGACTTTATGAAAAGGGTATTCTTTTTATTGTTTTATGTTTTGATGGAACGGCGTATCGCTTTTCAAATTGAAGTTGTTCATCTCAGTCCTCATTTCAAATCAACGGCTGATCAAAATGTTTTTGGTGCACACGGATTTACGCCTTCTACTTAGAAGGGAATAACATATGATTCAATTTTCGAAAGATGCACATCCAAACTGACCCATAAAAAGAAGCTTTTGTGTGTTTTGATACATAATACATTTGACGTCTTTGAGTGGCATTTCAGAAGTTGGGAAGTACAAGGCTGAAAAATATTATTGACAACAACTTCATATATTTTGTGAGTGCGACTTTGAGTGAATATGTATCGAGTCGTAGCACTCGCAAAATATAGGAAGTTGTTGTTAATAACTAGGTCAGTATAAAAAATAATGACACGAGTTCGATCAAATGTTATGTATTGAAGTCAAAAGACACGAGGTCGAAGTTCTGTTTATCATCTAATAGCATTCTTCCAGCTTGTTAATAATAATGATAACCAGTGTCTTGTGTCTATATCGGAATTGGTTCAGTGGAAGGATGGGGATGTCATTTGATTGTGATGTCATGAAACAGATGACATAGTGATATATATGACCAAATATCCCGGGTCTTCCCTAAGCCATACCTCCTCTTAAAGTCACTTTAGTAGGACAATAGAATACTAGTATTATATTTGGTATGGGTAGTTAGAGTGAGTGAGTTAACATGTAACCTTGCCTCGGTATTATTACTAAGTGATACATTTTATAATGGATATGCTCAGAACAAGACGACTCTTGACATGCTATGAAATAACATGTACCTTACTGGTTAAGAAAATTAAAAGATTACATCATATATCGGTACTGTGTGACTGTGACCGGGGACATGTCATGCTTCAGTATTGCACGTTTCTTCCACAGCGGCAGAGAAGGCGATGAAGGAAAATGACGTGAAGGAGGTCGAGCACCTGCTGAATCGGTCCCGGAGGTCTCCTGTTGCCTCTGAGCTGGACAAGTCCGAGGTGATGAGGCGAGCAGAGCGCTACCTGTATCAGCAGAAGAGGCTTCAGAAGTACCTGAGTGTTGTGCTTGAGCTGAAGCCTTCCACTGTGTCGGAGATCCACCGGTATAACCACCCCTTGGTGCACAGCCACGAGAGTGTCATGGCTACCTACATATTGCTGGGCGAGCGCAAGGCAGATCTCCAGGTACGGCAAGCTGACCGTATTTGCATAAAACGATACTCACTCGCTCATAGCTAAGTACATTTCAGCCTTATCGTTCTTTTAAGAACAAAATTGATACGTTCAAACTACGATAACCAAATCGGCACGAAGGGTCTATAGGTATTGGGCACGTGTAACCAAACATATTTTCCATTGTAAATGAGGATGTATGTATTGTTTCAGATCTGGCAGCGAGTGCAGACGATGCTTCGTCTCCCGGGACGACGGGGTATCATCATCCGGATCAAGAACTTCAACGTTGGTGACCTCAGTACCTGGCGGGCCAAACAGGCCAAGCGGTTGTTGGATAAATATACCGTGGACGGTGTCCGAGTGGTCAGCGCAGGGGCAGCAGCCTTCTACGTGTGGGTATGTACCTCGTACACATTATCGTCACGGGTTTGGCTTTACCTGTCATCATTTTTGTATTTTTGGATTCCACAATTCAGTGCACATGAAGACAGAGTGTGTCAAGATAAATCAGTGTTATGTTTAAATGACATCTTCTCGATCCTTGAATTCATTTATTCCATTGAGTTAGTGTCAAGATTTTATTGATATTTAGGTGAGCAGTAAAGCAAACTTGTAATCTTTAAAAATAAAAATTGTTAATCGTTGAGAATAGAAAAATAGAAAGTATTTGCCATTTTGTGTCAACAAAGACATTACTGTCAGACTATGAAATACAACTTTCTTAAAGTACAGCTACAGAAAAACCTCTTCATATGCATAAGAGTGAGTGAGTGAGTTTAGTTTTACGCCCCACTCAGCAATGTTCCAGCTATATGGCGGCGGTCTGTAAATGAACGAGTCTGGACCAGACAATCCAGTGATCAACAACATGAGCATCGATCTGCGCAATTGGGAACTGAAGACATGTGTCAACCAAGTCAGCGAGCCTGACCACCCGATCCCGTTAGTCGCCTCTTATGACAAGCATGGGTTACTGAAGCCCGATATTCTAACCCGGATCTTCACGGGTCATATGCATAAGAATGATATGAGTCAGGTATGCGGTGACTGCATCATGGTCATAGAGGTGCAGGGTTAAGAGCCTGGGCCCCTTTCCACAAAGCGATCGTACCGCTAAGATGGTCGTAACTTCCATACCCTAAACTTACGACTGTCGTAGCGCTACGATCGCTTTGAGGAACGGGGCCCAGCTTCTCAAAGTGACGTCTTGCTTTATAACAGACACGAAGGTGTTGTTAAGTCGCCGCGCTACAGATGGAGTTAAACCGACATAGGTTCAACAGTATCGAGATGACATTGGTGGTCTTATGTTGGTTTAATTGGAAATAGTTGTGTGAGCTATATGGGCTTTCTGACGTCGTACAATTGTTTCAGAGCTCTAACATCGTGGTTGAGGCCTTGACTCCCCCGAAGGAAGAGGATGAAGATGATTATGATGATTACGAATGATGAAAGCAACAACAAAATATATTAGGTCGACACTGATATTAAACATGCAGGCAACTGTACATCAGCTGGGTTCGAACAGCGTCACAATGTAATGGCTACCACAGTTCACGAAATCAGTTTGTATGTAGCTGTATACTCCTCGGGGACCTGAAAGAGGTGAAATGGGGTTTAAAGTACCTTTAAAAGTTACTGCAATGTGCGACGTGTATGCCAGAGAGAGAGAGAGAGGGAGGGGGGGGAGGAAGAGAGAGAGAGAGAGAGAGAGAGAGAGAGAGAGAGAGAGAGAGAGAGAGAGAGAGAGCGAGAGAGAGAGAGAGAGAGAGAGAGAGAGAGAGAGAGAGAGAGAGAGAGAGAGAGAGTATGCGTATGCGTATGCGTATGCGTATGCTTGTACTTGGCTGCTGGACATATAATGCTTTTCCACAGCATCACTGCGGCGGACTGTCAGAGATGAACGAATGTTGAAATGCAAAATGACCATTAAAAGGTCGGATAGACTCATTTCCCGTCATGCTTGGTGGTGCTCACTGAAAGAATATTACGTAAAGTTCACTGATTCAGGCGGGAATAATATTTTTCTATATTTCTCTAAGTATTATGTATGTACGTTGTAACCCAACAAGTCTTTGATAAAAGTTTTTCTGATATTGGTACTGTTAACTCACTGGCAACTGTCGTACTTGTTTACTCACATTTGTACATTTCGTTACTTATGTTTTGTTGGTAAAATATATGCACAATTTGACGTGATTTGTGTTCTCTGTTGAAACTCAATATACAATCAACCGGATATGATCTGCTATTCCACGAATAGTTGGCTTCGAGTAATGGCCTCTGTACGAACGAAATCATTCTCAGTGAAATCAGCTGAGGTAACTTTCATAATTATTACTCAAGAGCTTATAAATGTTTGGCAGTAGCGTCCTAAACGTACACACGACGACCTCCCTGAAAGTAATTCCCCCGTGATGTCCGGAATAACAGGTTTCGGGTTAACGGGGTTTCACTGGATGAGACAGGGCGTGATCTGACCGCACTAAATAACCGGTTAACATAAAGGGTCGATTACTCTGTAATTATATAACTGGAATACTGTTCAATGCAACCTTTGGTGGTGGTGGGGTAGCCTAGTGGTTAAAGTGTTCGTTCGTCACGCTGAAGACCCGGGTTTGATTCCTCACATGGGTACAATGAGTGAAGCCCATTTCTGGTGTCCCCCGCCTTGATATTGTTGGAATATTGCTAAAAGCTGCGTAAATCCAAAGTCACTCACTCACTAATCGCGTGTCATCGTAAAGTGTTCATAATATCGTCCCCTGATTTGTCTGGTCCAAGCCAAAACACATAATCGGGGCGATTGTAAGATTCCTATGAAATTATAATTTATAAATATATCTGATGCAATGTGCTTTCTTAATCAGAAGAATACCACACATGGTCAAATATACATCTACTCGGATATGTAAGCACATAAAGAAACTGGCTATTAGATACGTCTACTAGATCTATATATGCTCCATAACGTTAAAAGAGAAAGACGACAGAGGACGTGACGTCCTGGCTAAGGTGTCATATCGTACCCGGGCACCATGTACCATGCCTTCTGTAGCAAATCACATTTCGCCATGGATTGCAACTAATGGGTGCAACTCGTACACAACTCGCTGTTACTCAGATCGACCCATGAAGATCAGGGCTAGAATTGGCCGTCAGCAACCCATGTTTGGGTTAGAGGCGACTAACGTGATCGGATGGTCAGATTCGCTGCCTTGGTTGACACATCTCATCGTTTGCCAGTTGCGTAGATCGATGCTGATGATGTTAATCACTGGATTGTCTGTTCCAGGCTCGATTATTTACAGACCGCCGCCGTACAGTTGAAATATTGTAGAGAGTCGCGTTAAACAACAAACAAACAAAACATAACTTAGATCGCAAACCGCCATTAACATAAGGTATAAGACATTATCAGTAAAATGTTGATTGGACGGAAAATCATGGGGAGGGGGGAGAAAAAAGTATTTGGGGGAGTTTGATAAAACACAAGATGTTGAACATGACATGACATCGTGTATATCGCAAAGTATGGCATGCATACAAAAGGTCTTTGAACGTCATTGACATACATCTGTATTGTACATTTTGCTGCTTAGACATGAGCAGGAAGCGGGTTGGCAGGAAACAGATTGATGTAATAATGTGTGAAGAAGAAACCATGACAGATACATTTTACAGCTCCATTTTCACAACAGATTTTACGGGAGCTTGGAACATATTTGTAGGTCGCAATTCCGCAGTACAAACCATCAACAATCTCTTCATGATATACTCATACGCGTTTGTGCTGTACCAAGTTCCCATCTTACAAAGCGATGACGCGGGTTCTGACCCCACAGTCACTCATGTATTAAGTCTGGCATAAACTGCAATGCAATATACTCATTTAACAAACTCAAGACAATACCTAAACGTTCACTGCAACACTCTTCCATACATCTCTACATCAATTCACTGGCACACCCAAACAATGTTGATTAGAATTTAATGTGAATAATGTTATATTTTCTACGTCATATATAGAAGCATGTACATGTGATTCTAATGTTGGAAGATATGCGTTATCTATTTTCTGTGTTGGTCGTGATGTTAAGATTCGGATAACATTTGCTTTTAGTGAGTGGTGTTTGCTACCGGTTGAGCAGGACATACTAGGATTTTATGCTCTTCCCATTTTCACGAAGCGATCTAATCTCAATGGTGATTTTAATCCCCATGCTCCAACATGGACGTAGATAGACCAGTGTGTCATTACCGTTTTTAATGCTCAATTGATTTCAGCGATCCAGTCATACCCTGATGTTCACCACTCTTTACCGTTTATGCCCAATCTCGTGAAAATCTGCGTCGAGGGGTGGTTGTACAGACTGACTCTCTAGGCACTGACCTTTGCTATTTATCGTAGTCAACTTCTTTGTGGATAAAATGTGATTTGATACTAGGTGACCAACTCTGTGTACATAGCTTACTAAAATCGCGTCAGCTGTATGGAAAGTGTGCACCACAGAATCTGAAAGTGTGCACCAGAGGAACCACATTGTCCCAGCCTTATATGAACCGGGGCGGGGGTTGCGGTGGTGGTATAGTTCAAGGTCGACTTGGACCGGGAATAGGGTCTGTTTGCGTGCGGTACATTAACTGAAGTTGAACTATTATAAATATAAGCAGGCATACTGGACCAAAATAATTTAAAATAAAAATGTATTCATTGTATTCAGATATTTTGATGAAGTGACAGGATCCTCATAAGAATTGATTCATTGTACAGAGTTGCATCCCTTAGGCATGCCAGGAACCAGTTCAACGATGATTTGAGCATCTCAGTAGTGGTTGTGGGTTTCATCAAAGGGTAAATATCTCAGAATGCATATAACACGCACAATTAATTCTGGACTCAGAAGAGTCGAGAAACTCTCCGCACTGTGGGCACTTTCTGACAAGGGATTTGACCAAATTAAACATGCAGTTGTTATGAATATATACCAAGGATGAATTTTTTTTTCCGAAAACTTTAAATTTAAACACGCTCGCCCATGGGCGAGAATGTTTAATTTCGATCAGAATTCATGTTTTGGAGGTTGTAAATGAATGAGTGTATGTTTATAAGCATCATGACACAAATTTCAACTCATTTTGACTTAAGTCGACTAATTTAGAACGATATTAAAAATTCATGGGCGAGAATATTTACTTTTACTCAAAATACATGTTTTCGCATGCTTTGGAGGTTGTAAGTGAATGAGTGTATACTTATGGGTATCATGAAACAGAATTCAACTCATTTTGACTTAATTCGCCTAATTTAGAGCGATATTAAAAAATCTCGCCCATGGGCGAGAATATTTACTTTTACTCAAAATACATGTTTTTCCATGTTATTATTAACATTTCGGAAGCGATGGTACAACAATCTCACTCAGTAGACTAGTTCATGATAACATCCAGTAATTAATATTACGATGACAAAATACACAACATGACATCCAAATATGACATTTTGTTTATTCTACAGCATTTTCACATCTTACTTGCGCTATTTGTTTCATGGCATACGAAATCCATTGTCGTTATGTTTATTCTCTTAGTCCAAGAAGATGTGTGTGTAAATATAATTACGTAACTGTATCATACGAAAACTAATTATATATGTTGATAGACGACCTTACTCTCTACCTGATAATGCGAGTTCTGGAAATGAAGTAAAAAAGCTGTTCTTCTTCCGGCCATCGGCATCCACGGGCAGATAACTCTCAATCACCATCACACCTTCTCCCGGACGTTTCGAATGTGACGTGTCAAGGATACTTAGCCATCTATAATGGCGGTTCTAGCCGTCGACCAGTTCGTTATGGGCGTACTTTGAGCCTTCCTTGGTGATTGCTAAGTTTTTGCCGTTGCTGTCGTCATCTTTGATGATTTTCATGAAGCCATCAACTGCCTGGTCTACGCTGAAATAACGCAAGTGAGTGAGTAAGTGAGTGTTGCGTCACGCTACGCTACAGTGTCTGGGCTTTGAACCCCTTGCATCAGGCATACCAGATCTTCCATTAAACCATGATTCTGAGTCTGAACATGCCCACGTGATCCACTGTTTTCAGCATACACGCAGCAAATACTAACTCCAACATTAGTTCATATTACAATAAAAATAAATTGTCAGTCAGTTTTCGAATGTATTTTTTTATGTTATCATATGAATGTTTATTTATGTTATCATGTTACAATAATAAAACATTTCCACAGTCATTGTAAATATCTAGAAAGAGGAATTCATTGTACGATTCCGACGATGTTATAAGCACACGTTTATGAATCAGTTATACCGAACAGTGATGATGCTAGATATTCTGAGGTGTTCTGAGATTAAACGTAACGAAACGATTCTGCATACCCCATAAGAGAAATAGCTTTGAGCATTTCCTTGAACTCGTCTGGATACAGTAACTGTTCGTCCTTGAACTTCTGGAAGGCTGTGTCTACTGCTGTGGGACACACTGTCCCAAACCGGAGTCCCATGTCCCCGAGGTAAGGGTTTTTCTGAAGAAAACAAGGACATTAAACAAGGTAATGTCATGTTAATGCTTAGTGAGAACTATTGTGTCCTTGCTCAACTCCTCGTTTACCCATGAAGATCAGGGTAGGGATTGTTGTCTCCAGCAACCCCTACAGAGGGCGATTAAGGCGATCAAGTGGCCTTAATACATGTCATCGTATCCCATTTGCATAGATCGATACCCGTGATATCAATCACTGGATTATCTGGTCCATACGCAATTATTTACAGAGAAATTGTTACTATTTTAACGCATACAAGACGTAACATATGTCATATTTGGGATTACACACACTCCCTATCTCTCAGTCTACAGTTCTGCAATTGTGCTGTGTATTTATACCATGTACAAATGCTCGTATTTGAAAATGTCTGGAAACACTGTATATTATGCATTTATTTTATATAAATTTTACATGTACAAATCCTTGCAACTCGTTAATAAACAATATACTGCACTACTTCATAACCTACCGCCCAACTGCTGGTGAAGCCGACCACAGCATGTTTAGAGGCCACGTAGACTGGAAACACGAACCTGGTGACAAGGCCTGGAATGCATCATGTGTTATTGTACAAGTACATGCTATATACTGTAACGTCGTGCTATGTTTCAAAATTACTGTAACTCAATCAAAATAAAATCACATGACAACCTTTTGCTGTCCACACGAAAGGCGTATTCTGGACATGAACTATAACGGCAATTGGAGAAGCTTTCAGTCTGGCACCGTCCCGTGGTGAGGGAGTTAAACTGGCTGTGGAAGTCCATTTCTACCCTTCCCTTTTTGGGCTTTATGGCTGCTGTGCAAATGTCGCTCGATTGGAAGATTTGCAAGACATGTGTACTGTAAACTAGTGGGATTAAAGATCAGTTCACCATGATTGAAATCAAATGCACGTGGCATGGTGTGCGGGATCCGATTTGTCAATAGGAGGGACGGAGCGTGGAAGGGACATAACTCGTCACAGTTACGAAAGAGCTAGCCACGAAATTCCAGCCTTGTCTGACTCTCGGAGGTACATATGTTTTGCAAATATTGCAATCGACAGAGGTCTTCACGGTATTCGCACCTGTGTTCGAACCGTGTTGATTTTGTTAAATATTTAATTCTTCTCTGCATAGTCTCCTCAGGCTAATAATGGTTAAAGCGTTGGCTAGTCACGCCGAAGACCCGGGTTCGAATCCCCACATGGGCACAATGTGTGAAGCCCATTTCTGGTGTCCCCCGCCGTGATGTTGCTGGAATATTGCTAAAAGCGGCGTAAAACCAAACTCAGTCAGTCAGTCAGTCCTCAGGCTAACCAAACTGAAACTTAGAAAATCCCAGCCTCCATTACACAAGGGTTGAAACTGGACTTCTTCAGTCGAGTTCACTCCCCTGCCTCAGGAGGATGTCAGACTTGATGTTGCCATGACATCCAGTGGGTGAAACTGCGATACCATGAGTATGGTCAGAATATTATAGCGTGTTCGTTAACACAATACACGTTTAACTACGAGACACTCAGACTGGCTTTTGGGAGACATACACAATTTTGAACCTGAAACGTCCGTAATTATTTCAATAGTTCACTTTCAGCATGGAGTATATACGGGAGTATATTATCCGACTGAATAGACATCGTCAGGTGAACGTTCAACTAGATCCCCGTGTAGCTGTTGTTTCCTTACCGACCATGGAGGCGGTGTTGATGATGACGCCACCGCGACCCCTCTTGTCTTTGCGCATGTGCTCCACGGCTAGCTGGGTTCCATTCACCACCCCGCTCTGGAGAACAAAACAATACATGCAGATATAATACAACATACAGACGACATTCACAGATACAAAATACAGATACCATAAAACATCCTGAAAACTATTACAAATTGTACTGAAAAAGTGAAAAAAAGAACTATATCTTGAGAGTTATTATGAAAATTATATCTAGACTTACACAAGTTACACTCGCTAGCAACATGAAAAATAAAAATACAGTAAGCCTTACAATATTGACCGAGCACATCATCTGCCATCTCTTCTCGTTCACCAAGCCAGCGTTGTTCAGCATAAGATCTATGTTGCCATATTTCGACACGGCGCTAGCAAAGGCATCTGCATTCAGAACAAATCGTTCACTTCATCTTTTTATTGATATCCAAATTCATTTTGACTTAATGGTACATTTAGTTCAGTTTAGACACCGCTCTGGAAAACAGTCCAGTTACAATCAGAAGTAATACTGGTGTCCATCAAATTACCACTTCAATGGTGAAACACACCACCGGGAATGGTGCTCACGAAGCAGGACACCTAATCGTTCGGAGCCAGAATCATATGGTTTTTTGACGTACCCAAGGGAGACAACTCTGCACATCAAACTGCGCCTCAGACAGCTGGGATAGCGTTCCCATCATCGGGGGTAACAGAAGATTGCTGAATGTCCTTTAACACTGGCAAAATGTGTGCCAAACATCGAGGTAGCAGAAGATTATCAAATGTCCGTCAACACTAGCCGAATGTGTGTCAAGCATCGGGGTAACAGAAGATTACTGAATTTCCGTCAACACAGGCAGAATGTGTGTCATACATCGGAGTAACAGAAGATAATTTAATGTCCGTCAACACTGACAAAATGTGTGTCAAACATCGGGGTAACAGAAGATTATTGAATTTCCGTCAACGCTAACAGAATATGTATCAAACATCGGGGTAACAGAAGATTATTGAATGAGTGAGTGCGTTTAGTTTTACGCCGCACTCAGCAATATTCCAACTATATGGCGGCGGTGAAGATTATTGAATGTCTGTCAACACTGACAGAATGTGTGTGTCAAACATCGCGATCGGAGTAACAGAAGATTATAGAATGTCTGCCAACACAGGCAGAATGTGTCAAACATCGGAGTAACAGAATATTATTTAATGTCCGTCAACACTGACAAAATGTGTGTCAAACATCGAGGTAACAGAAGATTATTGAATGTTCGTCAACACTGACAAAATGTGTGTCAAACATCGAGGGTAACAGAAGATTATTGAATGTCTGTCAACACAGGCAGAATGTGTCAAACAAAGGAGTAACAGAAGATTATTGAATGTCCGTCAACACTGGCAGAATGTGTGTCAAACATCGGGGGTAACATAAGATTATTGAATGTTCGTCAACACTGGCAGAATGAGAGTCAGTGTATGTGAGTGTTTTCGAAACTCAAACTGAGTGTGAAATAATTTTTACTCACTCACTCAAGAAACACGATGAACACACAGCAAATAATATACTATGCAAAATATAGTTACTTTTTATTGATTATGAAATCACTTTATTTTAAGGTATTGAGTGAGTGAGAAACCACTCAGCTTCTCGTGCATGTGTTTTAGTAACCAGAATAGTGCAATTTAGTAAGTATGCCAGAACATGTGACGCGTGACCCTCAACGTGACGAGACATCTCGCCACTTACGTATTATCGGTCTAGAGTTGGCCTTGTTATCAGCCCCGAGATTTGTCGTATGATGCTCCCACACAAATCAGATAATATGCTTGGCTTTACCGCATTCCCTCCAATAACGCAGGTATTAAATAACCATTATACACTTGTAACATGTCTGTGATATAATATTTGTCAGAATATATTCAAATCCAAACTCAACAAAGCATTTATCGGTTTCTGTTTTAAATCTGCTTGTTTTGATTGCCGGGGATGAAGGACAGGTGACGGGTTATATTTCGAATTTCTATACTGATCTAGTTCCTACGGGTTGGTTATGTAAGGAGTTTCTATGCTTGCCGAGCTAATCGGGGGTAAATGAGTGCATAAAGATTTAGAGTGACAGCAATCTATCCACAAGACTGTATGTGAAGAAGGGCGACTACAACTTTCCCATAATCAATTGTCCTTGAAATTGAGCAGTATTCCAGCAGCCAGTGTATTCTTTTCAGAGGTATTCATTACTGAGGTACAATCGGGGACGGTCTTTCTACAGGGGTAGTCACACGACACGTACTTTGTTTAATGAGCTGACATGCTGAGGACTTTGACCCATCAGCGACCAAAGATGATATTCGATATATTTCCCTATGTTGGCTTTAATCAAGTGACCATTTGGCATGTATGTGCATGTGTTCGTACGTATCTGCTTCTTAACCGTACACAGTACTCTGATTATGTAAAAGCTATGCCCTGTATATTGTATTGACAACTTGGCATGTCATGTGTTCGTCCGTATCTGCTTTTGAACCGTACAAAGTACTCTGATTATGTAAAAGCTATGCCCTGTATATTGTATTGACCACTTGGCATGTATGTGCATGTGTTCGTCCGTATCTGCTTTTGAACCGTACAAAGTACTCTGATTATGTAAAGGCTATGCCCTGTATATTGTATTGACCACTTGGCATGTATGTGCATGTGTTCGTCCGTATCTGCTTCGGAACCGTACACAGTACTCTGATTATGTAAAAAGCTATGCCCTGTATATTCATACTCTCGTGATGTCAAAATATGTGTGAGTATTGACTTATTTAACTACAGCTTAAAATTTCGTCACGCCGACCACAACCCTCAACGGTGCAGCCCTATTCTATCAAAATAAACACCGTGATAAAGACTGTGATAGCCTTTTGTTGGGAGATAGGTCAAATATACTACCCATCAAAAGTTTAGACTCACTGAAAGCATTCACTATATGTTATGTGTATATATATGGTTACATCGAAGATGAATTTCTCCACTAATTTGGGGGAACCAACTGCAAACCGTGTGCAGACGAATTGCACGAGGATCATCCATCAAATTGCTGAAAAGCATGTGCAAATATCGTGTATGTGAACAGCTGCGTTTTGGTGTAAAGTTTTGTTAAGAATTCGCCAATTGTCACTGAGTTTCATCATTCATTGAGCTCATGACAATAATCTTTTCAACGTTATGAATTTGTTTTACAATACATCAGTTCAGGTGTAAACAGAGGCTTCTTAACAGTATGGAATATTTTACAAAATCTAGCTTAGAACAGATGACTTAAGTAAGTGGCTACATTTACATAGTCTAAACTTTTGATGGGTAGTATAAATGAAACCGAATGCAACGAAGCCCTTGGGTGCAAGTAAACCTAGTGATGACCCACAAGTTGCAAGCAGTGTATGACCTAGCCGGCCGTCTGGGTTACCGTATGTCGGTCAAAGGTCCACCTTTGCCCTCTATAGCAGCCCGGGGACTTCATAGGGAAGGTGATCAGATATCGTCTTCAGCTTGACCGTATTCATCCCAATAATGCAGTACAGTGAGTGGTGGGTTTTGAAGTTGCTTTGAATATTATACCATTTACACATTGGCGTGTCCAGTGAGACGAACGCCCGGAGAGGTGCAGGTCCAGATGATACTCACACGCTCTGGAGATGGTTTTATAACCATTTTCCATTCCAAATATGGTCTTCGATACATACATTATCAGAAGGCGTCCTTAATCATTGTTATTGTTGGGTAGGAAGGCTGAACAAAGATAACTAAGTTCGAGCTCTCCTCTTTCACCACATTTCATATCTCGCTCACTTGAGCGTTGTGTCCAGTTATGCTTGCAAATGAACCCAGAGTATATGCATGTATTTATGTTTAACGCCGCACGAAGCAATTGTCCGGCTAAATAATCGAGTCTGGACAAGAAAATCCAGCGTCATGCACGTGCATGGATCTACGCGATTGGGAGATGATGACGGGCTTTACCCGAGTCAACCTTTTACGACCATTATGGGTTGCTGAAGACCATTTGTAACCCGGGTCTTCACGGGTTCCAGGGTATTTACCATGCTGGAATGAACTGTCATTTACAGAAAATTTGAGAACGACGTCACACAAGGAAAGGTAATTATGTAAGCCCTTACTATCTCATTACATAAAGATATGTAGCTATGGCTAACATTGAGGTGTATCATATATTAAGCAGCAAAAGAAACGTCAGTTTGGAATTTTCCTTCGCAGAAACGGATAACTGTAAACTCATTTAATGTTTTGATTGTATATTTTTGACAACATCTCCAACTTTACCTGAGCAAAGACATTCCTTCCCAAACTCAGAATGGAACCCAGGAAATGGTCACAAAAAAGGCAACCTCATCTCGGAGATGGTACGGTGTTCTCCATGTTTTTTTACATGCAACTCATGCTGAACGTGCTGTTCACAAGGACCAGCCCTATAAAATGCACCCCCAAACCTGGTTGAAACATTCACATTACAACGTCAGCAGGATCCCGCGACTCACGACAGCTCAGAGGAACCAGGCGCTAGGAAGACTTGAAGCTGGCCACACTGCACAAGCCGTTGCCAATCACTTCCAGGTCAACGTTCGGACCATCTACAAGCTGCAGCAAGGTTTCCGGGCCACCAACACCACAAATGATCGCCCCCGTACTGGCAGACCAATGGTGGCCACAAGACGACAAGACCGCCATGTTGTGCGACAGCATGTACAAAATCCTTTCATGCAGGCACCCGAAACAGCACGACAGACAGTGGGAACACATGGAAGACCAATCTGTACTGATACAGTACGCCGACGTCTTAACAGCGGAAACCTCCATTGCCGTAGACCTTACCGTGGACCTATCCTCACCCCTCGTCATCGGCGTGAATGTCTACAGTGTGCCCTACAACACCAAAACTGGCGATACAGGCAATGGAGAACTGTTCTGTTCACGATGAGAGTCGGTTATGCGTATCAACTGCAGATGGCAGAACAAGAATATGGCGACGACGTGGCCAGCGTTACTCAGACCAATGTGTTATGGAAAGAGACTCATGGGGTGGTGCAAACATCATGGTATGGGGTGGAATAGGCCTGAACCAGAGAGTGGGTCCTGTGGTGTTCCAGAACCTTGGTCCAGGGAGAGGAAGCGGCATCACAGCGGTGCGCTACATCGGCCAAGCTCTCAGACCCTACGTCATACCACATTTCGCACGTCACCGTAACAACATTTTCCAGCATGATAACGCCCGGGCCCATACTGCCAGAGCTACACGGGACTTCCTACAGCAGAACGGTGTCAACATTATGCAGTGGCCAGCCCTTAGTCCTGACTTAAACCCAGTTGAACATCTATGGGATGAAATTCAGAAGAGACTGAATAATGTCATACCAAGGCCGAATACAGCCGATTTATTGCGCCAGGCCTTTCTCAGCGTTTGGTTCAAGGTGCCAATGGGCTTCATCAATCGATTGGTGCACTCAATGCATAGACGCTGTGCTGCAGTTATTGCCGCTCGTGGTGGTCACACTAGATACTGAAGTGAAGAGTCTGAATGGACTGCAAACGTTCACGTCTTGGAATTGTGTCTTGGAGTTATTCATTGATGTGTCAAAATATTGTACACAAAAAATGTTTTTGATCCGCTTATTATGTCAATTTCTGTAATGATTTGATTACAGTTCCTATCTAATTTTGAATTCGTACTGACGTTGTTGTTTTTGCTGCTGAGTATACATTTAACTGAGCCTGTGACTATACGATATCCCTTACTTTAGGTGCAGTTAAACACGATACGTACCCTTAAAAGACTGTTCGTCACCAACGTCACATTTGACAAAAAAGGCCCTGTCTTCTCCATACGCCTTTCTGAAGTCACTCGCAGTTGCCTCCCCTTGCTCTGCGGCAATGTCCGCTAACGCCACCTGTTTGACGGTAGTTACATGTTGTATAAGAAATCCGTGAATTTAATATGTGCACACCTGTCATAAAAAGTATCATATGTTATGTCTGTTTATAACTACTAGTATGAACTATTGCAATATTGATGATTGCATTATATGTACTATTAATGTATCATTATGTCTATAAATGTTTCAGGGTGAATTATCGACTAATAAATGCTCCTTCGGGCAATATCCCACACCCGTAGCGTGTGTTTGAAGTTTTGTTACATTCACTTCCCTGCCACACAAATAAACTCGAGCTGAAAATATCGATGAAATTGTCTTTTTACTTCCTGATGTCCTTTTCTTCGAGTATTTACTTGTTTACAACTTTTACTATTACAGTGTCTAACAATTATGTTTAATACTTCGCGACAGTTTGTTGGGAATCAAAACTATACATGTATTGGGATGCTGTGAGGAAATTGTCATGGTTCCCTCAGAAGTATAAACTATCGATAACAGGCTCTAATTCCTGTGACAGTTTGTACGTGTAAGTCTCACTGTATTAGAAGATCTACAGAGGACACGGGACTTTCAATGCACCAGTTACCCCAGCTAGATTAGTCCGAATCCTAGGTGTTCGTTATGGGTCATGTTCGTCATATTCATTGTGATTCCTGGATCAACACCAGCACAACCATCATCAGCATTATTCTGTATCATTTCAGATACATTTGAAATAGTGTGGAAAGCTGTTTCAAAGGTCATTCTCACGTAGTTTTTAAAAGCTTACTGCACACTGTGTTTAATACAGCCCAAGAATTCAAATTCTAAATCTGGCACCACGAAGGGAACCAGCATCGTTAAGACCACTGGGCCAATTTCAAGGCTATTATAATTATAAATATATGCCTTAGCCTATGTGAATGTGATGATCACAATTCAACGTAAACGTCTTGATTGTCTCCATAAACACACACCGTGGTGCAAACACTACAAAGTAGTAGTTGAATAATACGATCACATGATAACGTCGATCTTTGTCTCGTACGAAGCATATGTAGATCGAGGTGTCGGTTATTTCAAATCCAATGTAATGATGAAATGAACTATGCCTGCATCATTAAAAATATTAACTATAATAAAGTTTTAACAAAGTGCCTTAACTGGAGGAAACTGATTAAAATTCTACAACACCAGTGGACAATACTTTAATCTACTTTAATTTTTCAAAACTAATTTACTTTGAATAAAAATTATTTTTTACCAAAAGGATTTACTTCATCGGAGAAAGTATTAATCACGCAAGAGAAGTGTATTGACCGAACCTTAGCTCCTTCTTTCAGTAGAGCTTCTGCCACGTTCTTCCCCACCCCCATGGCCCCTCCGGTGATAAACGCAACAGAGCCTTCGATCTTCATCTTGTGTTGCTGGTCGAGAGATGACTGATCCCACAATCTGTCCCCTTGTTGAACGTAAGTACTGGCGCTCAAACTCCACACACGTACACTCGTTATCAACCTTATGTAAATCTATATTTAGGTCAAGATACTTGCAAAGTGTAATGTGAAGTTTGTTTACTCGGGGACGTCTTATATATCCGAATAATTCATCATGGACAAGTTATAGGGACGGAATTTTCCCCTTCAAGAAATAGAAATGTTTTCAATACTATTTAGTACTATACAATAGCAAGCTTCTAAACGTTACCCTATTTCATTAATAATTAGGCAGGTGTTGAAATGAAGCTGTATTGTGGCCTAAAGTACGGTTATTAAACTCTGATATGTACATGTATCCTTACCACTGTTCACATTTGAAGAAAACATTAAAAACTAGTATTTTATTCAAAAAGAGTGCAGTGTCTTGAATTGAATCACCCAGACGTTAGACGACGTCTTCAAGTAAATCTAGTCAGACTGTTGGTGCTCCTTGCTAGGTTTTACAGAGTCTATCTCGCGGTCTGATAGTCACCTAAACCGCGATATTTCCACATCCGCTCAGCCCTTTCTGCATGGCTAAAGCTCTAAATGAAGCAAGTCTAGATTTCTTCAGGTTCAGGTGTCGGCCATCTCACTAGGCAGTAGGCTCCTTGCCATTTTAAAAGGAATTATTTGTTTCCATCACAATGATATGTTTTGGGAGACTGAGCGTTAGTCTAGGTATTACAGCGTAAGCCCACTGAGATACATTTTGACATGGATACTTCCTATCAGACACAGTATCCTGACTCCTACCGACCTTCTGCCCTACCACCTGACGTTCTGTCCACTTGGCTAGGGGTGAGCTCTATTGAAACGGACACCTACAGGCAAAACATTCAAAGTTAATCATTTAGTAATTACGGACAGAAGACACCCCAACACCCATAAGAATCATTGGTTCAGCTGTAGCAAGGACATACAAGCACACTGCAAGCTTCAACTGCTGTATGTCTAGCAGTTTTGATCGTTTTGAGATTTGACTCTGCGCAATGTCGTCATTAGCAGTACTGTAGACCACCGGGCAACGAACTGAATAACAGGAATATGCGTTAAGGATGCCCTGACACATTTTGTTGTTAGTGCTATCCAAAATGACAAAATCTGACCCAAAACGGTTTTTAGATCGGGGTAAGTGACAAATGCTCACTATCGAGCTGCCTCTCTTGGGTACGCCAAACATGGGTTGGTTGGTTGGTTTTATAGTTTTAGGGCGACGTGGGCCAGTAAGAGGCCTATTTGTGCCCAACACATTGACTTGATTTAATAAACAATCACAGGTAATTTCATTGCCAAAAGGAATCGTTTAGTTAAGGTAAAAGAAACGACAACACTATTAATTTGGATAGATGTATACGTATGTCGAATAACCTCTGCTTTGTGTTACGGATTAAAAATCTTAAGTAATCACTTCCATGTCTGAAACATGAAATACTCATTCAATAAAAAAGCAGTAGGTTCAGATGACAGAGTGTTAAAATGATTTAAAACCACAGAACTAAATCTGTCTAAGCCATTCGAGAGCCTGTCTAGATGACATAATATTTTCCAGATGACGAAACAAAATCTAAAACTGCCCGTTGCACAGACCCATACATGATATTGGGGCCCAAAACTGTTTCTAATGAAAATACATCATCAACCTCAAGTACAGCACTTCTGAGATTATGTCTTATGTTGTTATGCCCGGGGCATGTAATTAAATAATGTTCGATGTTTTCAGGCCAAACATGCTCACTATCGAGTTGCCTCCCTTGGGTACATCAAATACAAAATATACACTGTAAACACAAAATATACACTGTACACACAATATACACTGTATACACAATACACACTGTATACACAATATACACAAATATACACTGTACACACAATATACACTGTATACACACTATACACAATATACACTGAATACACAATATACACTGCATACACAATATACACTGAATACACAATATACACTGCATACACAATTATACACCGTAGACACAATATACACTGTACACACAATATACATTGTACACACAATAAACACTGTACACACAATATACACTGTACACACAATATACACTGTACACATAATATACACTGTACACACAATAAACACTGTAGACACAATATACAGTCTACACATAATATACACTGTATACAGAAATATACACTATATACACAATATACACTGTATAGACACATATACACTGTACACACAATAAACACTGTATACATAAATAAACACTGTATACACAAAAATACTATGTATACACAATACACATTGTACACACAATATACACTGTACACACAATATGCACTGTATACACAATATACACTGTATACACAATACACACTGTACACACAATATACACTGTACACACAATATACACAGTACAAATGAGTCTGTAAAAGTATAATTTATCCTTGGTTGCAGACCTTGAATTAAGGTACAAGGTTCATTCCGGTTATCATCACTATCTGACAGTGATTCATAAACACATGCGTACGATCTAGTCAATTACAACGTACGATTGACTGGCGTCACACAAGTGTGAGTATGGAAAGAGGTTTTACGGTTTTATTCAGCCATTTTCTTGGGCAACTATCAGTGCTGAAAGTTCACAAACACCGCATGGAGGGCACCCACAGACGTGCATGATTATAACATGGCGGTATACAGATTTCCTGACGAGGCATCTCATCTGCTCAGTACATTTCACCCGTCAGACCTTGACCCATGTTATGCATAGCAGGCCCTAAATAGGACAGCCACGCCCTGACAGCAAATATGACGGGTCAGGGATTGTTGGACACGGGTAACTTGTGGCCATACAGTAAACAGACCTCCGCGTATACACGGTAGTCGCTTCATATTATTTTCTTGTCCATTTGTGTTAAGTCTTTGTTAGTTGTATATATCCGTAGTTCCTTATTTACAAGTGTTTATGTTCAATGTACCAGAGCAAAGAACTTTTGCCATCAAAACCATATATGGACAAGAGGCCGCGATGGCTTTGCTGGTTAGACGGCTGACTTTGTGTGCTGGCGATTAGGTGCCTGAGGGTGTGGTTCGAATCCCGGATGGGACTCAACCCAACAAAAGTACAAGAATTTGTACCTTACTGAGAAAGTGTAATCCCAAATATAACACGTGGCAAGATGCTGTCCAGGGGCCTTATTCTCGAAACATTCGTAGCCCTAAGAATTCTTAACTTTGATCGTAGCCAATGTGTTAAGAATGGGCTTAAGAAGTTCGTAGGACTACGAACGTTTCGAGATAGCTAGCCAGGTGATTGACTTCAGTAAGCGACAGTCCCAGCAGGTGATGTCAGGATCAGCAGTGACACAAGCTAGCAAGTCTGACGACGTCATGAGACGACCCCTATTATGAAACATGGCTGCACTGTTACAGTGTCAACACATGTGATCTGTGGAAGTCCTCTCGGACTGAAAGTTGTCTGGGTTCACATGTCAGCCCACAGTATCGGATACAGCATTCCTTACAGTCTAAAATCTGTAAAGAACGGTGAATTGCAAGATAATTCAAAATCGAGAATAGCCCAATTCACTGTCAATTTAGTAATAACCTCTGCTTTGTGTTACGGATTAAAAACCTTAAGTAATCACTTCCATGTCTGAAACATGAAATACTCATTCAATAAAAAAGCAGTAGGTTCAGATGACAGAGTGTTAAAATGATTTAAAACCACAGAACTAAATCTGTCTAAGCCATTCGAGAGCCTGTCTAGATTACATCATATTTTCCAGATGACGAAACAAAATCTAAAACTGCCCGTTGCACAGACCCATACATGATATTGGGGCCCAAAACTGTTTCTAATGAAAATACATCATCAACCTCAAGTACAGCACTTCTGAGATTATGTCTTATGTTGTTATGCCCGGGGCATGTAATTAAATAATGTTCGATGTTTTTAGGCCAAACATGCTCACTATCGAGTTTTCTTCCCTTGGGTACATCAAATACAAAATATACACTGTAAACACAAAATATACACTGTACACACAATATACACTGTATACACAATATACACTGAATACACAATATACACTGTATACACAATATACACAAATATACACTGTACACACAATATACACTGTATACACAATATACACTGTACACACAATATACACTGTATACACAATATACACTGTATACACAATATACACTGTACACGCAAATATACACTGCATACACAATTATACACCGTAGACACAATATACACTGTACACACAATATACATTGTACACACAATATACACTGTATACACAACATACACTGTACACACAATATACACTGTATACACAACATACACTGTACACACAATATACACTCTACACACAATATACACTGTACACACAATAAACACTGTAGACACAATATACAGTCTACACATAATATACACTGTATACAGAAATATACACTATATACACAATATACACTGTATAGACACATATACACTGTACACACAATAAACACTGTATACATAAATATACACTGTATACACAAAAATACTATGTATACACAATAAACATTGTACACACAATATACACTGTACACACAATATGCACTGTATACACAATATACACTGTATACACAATACACACTGTACACACAATATACACTGTACACACAATATACACAGTACAAATGAGTCTGTAAAAGTATAATTTATCCTTGGTTGCAGACCTTGAATTAAGGTACAAGGTTCATTCCGGTTATCATCACTATCTGACAGTGATTCATAAACACATGCGTACGATCTAGTCAATTACAACGTACGATTGACTGGCGTCACACAAGTGTGAGTATGGAAAGAGGTTTTACGGTTTTATTCAGCCATTTTCTTGGGCAACTATCAGTGCTGAAAGTTCACAAACACCGCATGGAGGGCACCCACAGACGTGCATGATTATAACATGGCGGTATACAGATTTCCTGACGAGGCATCTCATCTGCTCAGTACATTTCACCCGTCAGACCTTGA